TTACGTCGACGTTTCAAACAATTCTGAATCGGATGAGACCATTCTGTTTATGTGAGCCGATTTTTGACTTTTTATCAGCATTTAGTTTTAATTAGAGGATTAGTTTTTTGATATGATCACTTAAGCCGTTTCTTTAAAATTAGTAGAAAAGTGCAAAAAATGTTTGTCCACTTTTTAGTCAAAAGAATAAAATTCAATTTTTAAATAATTGTAAATAAAGTATAAAAAATGTTTGTTTTTATTGGTGCCTAAAGAAGGCGACATTCCATATATTCAAAACGTAGAAATAATAATAAATGAAAATAATCAAAGTCCAAATCCTATGATCCTGAAATATTCCTTTTTACTTTCATTACAAACTGTTTACAAACAATTCTTCTGAAAAGATTCATTGATAGTTTTTTTAAGAAATGAGAATTAAAAATGTATCAAAAGACCCAAAATGATTTAACTATAAAAATTAGATTTATTTAAATTATATATTTTTATCATTTTATCAAAGTAGATTCATATTGCATATAGAATAAACGATTTGAAGATCAAGTGGGAAAAATAAGATAAAATCCTGCATTTATATAAATTTTAATCCTAAAATAATTTGAAGAGCAAGTAAAGAAATTAAATTAAAATCCTGTATTTAAATAATTTAAATTAGCTATTGAAGTATATATCAGAACTTATATTTCTAAATTAATTTCTCACGTTTTATTTTAAGTTGAAACTATATTTTGAATAATTTTATCTATATTTCTATAAATAACACGTCAAATAAAAACACTAACTACACATTTAGCTTTCGATCAAATTTTAAATCATCACTTAAAACTAATTAATACAATTAAAGTTAACTTAACAAAAACCTTCATTTCATTGATAGTTTATTTTCGGTCGTTTATAAAATTGATATAATCGATTTCAATTATATGATACAATGAAATTCAATAATTATTCTTATATTTTTTTCATAAAATATTTTTACTTTTTACTAAATATTCAAAATTTTTGTCAAACAATTAGAATAAAAAACTTAAAATTATTTAATATTTTTTTAAATTCAAATAGATGTAAATATATTTTTCATTGAAAATTCTTCTAAAGATGTTTTTCAAAAAAAATGTAAAAATTAACGTACCTTGATATAATATAAAAACTAGTTGCTTGATATTGGTATTTTGCCTTGGGGCAAGTTAATTAATTAATTTTATTTAAATTAATTTTTCAGTGATTAAAAGTATTCCGAGTGGATTAGCTGCAGTTTTTGAGAAAACGTTGATTTACGGCAAAAAATCTGTTCACATATACACACACACATACATACTTTTTCCAAATTTGGTCTCATTCGATTCAGAATGGCTTGAAACGTCGAGAAAATATAAAATTAGCGAATCGGATTTTTTGATGAAAACTTCTCCTTCGGGAAGTTAATAAGATTCATATAATTTTTATATCCTATTTACTTCTGGTGTAAAAGTACATATTAAAACTATTGGTGTAAGTAGTTGAATAGACTAGAAGAAATTGAATCACTAATTTATTTTCCCACTTTTTATTTTAATTTTATTCTAAATTCAACTAATTTTAATTATTGTTTTAAATAACTCATGTTGCACTAAATTTAAATTCTAACACTAAATAATATTTTCTGATTTATAAAAATATTTTATATCGTTTTAACAAGCAACTAACCGGTATTTCACAATTCTCTAAAAAATACCGAACATGACTAACAAATCGTGAACTAATTCCACGCAAAGAATCGAAATAGAAAATTAAAACATCCTTGTATGAAGTGTATCTCGTGTTTGCAAATATTCTTACACATACATATATACAAAACAATATATTTCTATTTTTTTAGAAATAAACGTGACATATTTTTATAATATGTATTGAGTTTTGTCTTAATTTATATTCACAAAACGATATGTTTTGACCAAGATATTCACAAAACGATATGTTTTGACCAAGATTGTATGTATTGATGTATCATTGATGACACTTGCGGAAAACCCATAACAATAGCATATATATTATATATATATATATATATATATATATATATATATATTGTATATATTCAATCTTAATCAAATCAAAATTAATCATCTTAATCAATTCAATATTCAATTAGATTATTTTCTGTTCTTGTGGGCAATAAAAAAATTTGGGCAAACAAATAATATTTAAACCAATTCTAGAAATATACTTTTACTGCTAAGAACAAATATTTTCTACATGTTTTCAATACAAGATTTGAAATGTATAAAAATGCAATATTATATTAAGTGCAAGTTTTTAAAATAAATTAAACTTATGAGTTTATGATGGAAGAAAAGGCCAAGGGACTATTTACAAATATTAAGTGTAAAAAATATTAACTTATTAACCATGAAACTTACGTATTATGATGAACGAATCAGTTACAACTGCACATTGATAAATAATTGATATACACAATTTAAAAAAAATAATATAAAATTAAATCAATTATTGAAATGTTGAAAAATTTGGGTCAGACTGTGTTTTAATAAAGTGTTTTCCACTGATTCTCATGCTAATAGAAACTTTGGACTAAGTCTCAATGCTGTTTCATGGCAATTAGCACATTGCCTTTTACAATTAGATAAACATTATTCGTTGAACGGTTTTTAGAACAATGAGGATTCCTGAACAAATTTATAAACATCCATATGCAACTATAACAAAAGTACACTATAAACAGTACAATAATATTGTGTGTGTGTGTGGTGGTGTATGTGTATAGTTTCCTAAGGATGTTTATAAATTTGTATAAGAATCTTCATTGTTCTAAAAATTATACAATGGCCAAGTTGTCGAACTAAAGATCGTTAAATACAAGAATTAATAACTTCCCGTAGGTAAGTTATTGTAATGGGCCAAAATCGAAATTGAAAATTTTTACATTTCTCGACGTTTTGAAGGTTTCTGAACATTTTGGCATACCTCAGAAAAAATGGATGTATTGTGTGGTTTTTAGTATGTATGGATACAAATTTCCAGTCACGTTTTCGGGCGCACGGATCAACCGATTTGAATGATTCAAAAACATTCGATTCCTATTGATAGAGAGATGTGCGATTAGTTTTTGGCAAGGGCAGGTCCAGCCGTTTCGGAGACACGGAGCAAAGATTGCAGAAATAGAATCGAGTTTTGAGAGAAAAACGGTGTATCCGATTTGAAAGAACTAAATAACATTCAATTAATATGATTGGGAGAAGGGTTTATTAGTTTTTGGCAAAAGCAGGCCCATTCATTTCAAAGATACGGAGCCTAAAAGGAAAAGAAATTTTGTTCCAATTTTTTTTTTTTAAATTTTTTTATATCGAAAGTAATTCAAATTTTATTTTTAATTCTGACTATAGTTCTAATATACTTTGAACAAATATTTCAACTATGCAATTCAGTTTATATAATTCTTATAAATATTAGACAATGTTACAATATTAATAATAATCTATTTGAAAACATTCAGTATTCTCGAACATTTCGTTACGGTACGCGAAGTTCCAGCAATTTGCCTTAAGGCACGATGCCATACACTTCACTAGTTATAATTTATTTTGTTAAAGTAAAAACAATTTATAATTTTAAATTTTAAACTTTATACATTTTTTTTTTCTCTAAAATGTCTGCTCTTCTGAGTGGTTTTTATATTAGTCTGCAGTTAAATATTTTTTATTTCTTTATTTTCAATATTTTCAATATGTTTTTTTCTATTTTTATATTTCTTCACAAAGTACATTTATTCTAGATATTTATTTTATAACATAAATATATATATTTTTTTTAAAAAAGAGTGTTTTAGTATTATATATATAAAGATGTATTTTTGTTAGTTCAATCTGTTTATCTTTTCAATAATTTTTCATTTTCATATTTATGTATATAGCATTACGTATATCTTAATATAATGTTTGTTTATATCTTATTTAACAATAAAAAACATGTTCTTGATAGATGTCTTGAGGGGAAACATTCATAGTTTTAAAACTTTGACAATAAATCATATTTGTTAAAAATCCTTAAATACAGACAATGCATCATATAAATCCATAAAAAAAATAAAATTAAACTATAGTACTTATTATTTTTGCTATAAAACAATATTTTGCTAGATTTGCTATTTAAAGAATCCGTGCAAAATTTACTTTATTTGTGAATAAAAAATCAATGTGTACTAAATATTAAATATTTGCTTTTAACTATTAATATCTTTTACATTATTTATTTTCTTATCCCAAACAAAAAAAATATAGATAATATAAAATAATAATAATAATGCATAAATAAAGATTATGATAAATAATACTTTGATATTAATAAGCTTAAGCTACACTAAAAACATTCTATACAATCACAATGAGCTAAATTATAAATTAAAAATATATAGCATACATTAAATAACTAAATATTTATCATATATAATCATACCTTTTCGTTACTAACAACTTTGAACCAATTATTATATTTTTTAAAATTTAAACTTTTTTGAAATTCAAATTCCCGCTCAACTAATGGAAGCCATGTTGCTCGAATTGGTAATTCTGTGGAAGATTTTGACATTTGCTTGTATTTGTATATATTGATTTTGGGCTTAACTATTGCATTATAGTCTTAAATTAACGTATTGTGCACTGATAATAAAAATAATTATTTCTTTAATATTTCTCTAAATCATAAGGAATGTACAGATTTTAAATTAATTTATTTACACCACCGTCTTCACTTTTGACAGATATATACTTTGTTATCAAAAAAGTGACATTGTTGTTCTACAAGGCTCGTTCTATTGAAGATGTCAATATTTACACGGAGATGAAATCAGAAATTTGAATTAAAAGGCGCTAAATTATTTGTTTGGAAGTAATAATGTATATTGGATAATTGAAATAAAGGCGAATCAATATAAAATGGAAGAAGCTGAGAGCATAATTTCACTTGCAAGAATTTGCAGAGCTGTTTAAATGAACGTACACAAATGAAACCTTTATTTGATGCTCGATTAGCTGAAATGATGATGGCTTGTGCTAATATTGTGGTAAGAAATAATATATATTAAATAATATTTTAAGACTCTTGTTATATTGGACCTAACCTTTCTTACTTGTTCAAACGCTATTAGACTATTTGAACTTTTGCAAATTTATAAAAATAATGATAAATGATATATATATATATATATTATATATATATATATATATACTTATATATAATAGTCAATCTATAAACTAACCTATAATTAAATTACTTCTCATTTAATTCAATTATCTCAAGTATAAATAATCCAAATTCTCCTCGACTCATGTTTCAAATAGTGTTCTGATTTATATATATATATATATATATATATATATGTATGTATATGTATATATTTCTTTTTTAGTTAAATGAAGGCGATGGTCTCCCAGCACAGCTTTGTGTTCAATGTGTAACCGCAGTCAGTCGAGCATTCTATTTTAAAGAGCTCTGCGAAAGAAATGATGCTACTTTGAGACAATTAGTACTTTTGCATCAACCGACACAAACTTATGAAGAACCGTTGAAATATGAACTGCTGAATGTTATTGTTGAATATCCAACAGGTATAAATTGTAGTTTTGTTCAGAAATTTATTTAATTTCTGAAATTCAAACCTTTTATGTTTATCACGCAAAACATGCGCAAGGCGCAAGATATATACTGCCAATTTTTTATATTCTTAAAATTATTGATGTGCTACATAATTTTATTATATATGTGTATATTGTTTTATACAGTTATTCGAACAGAATTAAAAGAAATTCTTCATTGAAAATTGGATTTGATATACTACATTTATTTAAAATAACAGATTTTATTGTTCATGGAAAAGTATCTACTTACTTCATTTATGCATTTATTTATATAGGGTACAATCCGAATAAATCTACCTCCAAAAGCTTGTAATATAAATTGAATGACTTACAAAACTTTCTGAGTTTAATTTGTAGAATTCTTGGCATTTATTATGTTGTACTTGCTAAAATAGTTTCTACATATATTTATATAAAACTAAGGGCTAATACTTATATGAAAAATTGTAAATAAATCAAAAACTGCAAAATAATGTAAAATATCTGAACATCACCAAAATTTGAAATAAAACAACAAATATAATATATAATATAATAATACTCGTAATAGGTAGTTGGATATATTGTAAATTCATAAAACTTTAAATCAAGAATTGGCGTTTTTTGGCTTGAATTTCATTTTGCTAGTGATTTTGTAAACCTTCTAGCTGAAATAATGTCTAAGAAACTAATTATACCATTTTTATTATACATTTTACAAGCAACGACATAGTATTTAAAAGAACCTCAATTTATAAATATGAAATTTGCTTTGTCATAATACACTGAAAATCTAGTTTCTATTAATATAAACAAATTAAATGTCCGAAATGAAAATTTTAAAGTTATTTGAAGAAAAGTAAAAAATGTTCTAAATCCATGTAATGGAAATTATCAAAATACTAAAGTCCGCATTTTAACTACAAAGTATACAAAATTTCAATATTCAAGTGTATATAATAGTTTTTACTATATTCTAGTAAATTTTATCTAGTTTTCACTGATATAAAAAAAATATTATGTCCAAAATAAAAATTAAAAATTATTTGAAGAATAGTAAAAAATGCTCAAAATTCGTATCAAAAATATGAAGTCCGCATTTGAACTACGAATTATGCAAAATTTTGTTATCCAAGTGTATATAAGTAAAAAAATTTTGCTAAATTCTAGTGAATTTTGTCAATGCGAAAAAATTATAATTTTCGTAACGAAAATTTAAAGTCATTTCAAGTATTGTAATAAAATGTGTTAAATTTTACATATTACTTATTTTTTAAATATATAAATATACTAAATTCTATAATAAATGACGGTAAACTAAATCAAATGAATCTAAAGAAAAACTCTTCATTTATCATATGCAAACTGAATTTAAAATTAGTAACATTCAAAAGGACATAAATACCAGCACCAGACGTCAGGACGGGTAGTTTTACCCGCCCGCCCATACAAATAATTTTGCTTTTCATGTATGCTAATATTTTTGCTATCTATAAGTCTCGTTACAAGTCATAATTTTAAAAATTATCTTCTATATATATAAAAATAAGTCGGGTTTTCCTTCCTGACGAAATAACTCCAGAACGCACGAACCGATTTCGATAATTTTGCATTCGTTGGAAAGGTCTCGGGCTCTGCAAAGTTTATAGCTAAGAAAATTAGTGTGCATGGCATCGTGCCCTAATGCAAATTGCTGGAATTTCACGCACAATAATTAAAAATTCGAGTAATGACATTAGTGAGAAGTCAAAATTATCCTTGGTTAAGTCAACGAGCAATTCTTGCCGCAAAGAATAATGCACTGAATTTCACCATTCAATCAAAAATTGCTGGCGATTTGGTGACATACCAATATTCCGACTGTTTCCGTTTGACTTCAAACAATTGCAATTTCCAGTTCGCCTTGCGTTCGCAATAACAAATCGCAAGGCCAAGCGCTTAGTGTTTGCGAGATAAATTTCAAATAGATTATTTAGAAAATCTTTGTTTTTCACATGGGCAGATACGTTGCCTGTTCACGAGTTGAAAACCATCCGCTTTGTTTGTGTTAACGTCAGACAAAAAAACAAAAAATGTGGTTTACCAAAGAGCATTTTAATGAAACGGATAATTGGCGGATCACTTTCATTTACTTAGAGAAGTTCAACTAAAAAACAGTTAATTTTTGTATCGAAATAAATTCATTACTGTTGTGCAATAAAATCAAATTTTTCCTTTCAAATATAAAAAACAACAAAAAATTTCTACATCTTTTTCACGAAACCATCTGGTGGCGAAAGGAGTTCGTCGGTTTGCTAGTCTTATTATAAATATTCTATTATTCTGGTTATATTTAATTCCCTTACAGAACTCACAGACACAAGGGTGGTAATTTAATTCTACACACCGAAAAGTTGCCCAAATTCAAGACATCGAACCCGAACCAGACCCCACAACATTGTTCATCGAATCTTCTGCTCCCAGTCCCCTTGCACCGATTCTCTGAACGATGAACAAATGACCAATGATAAATTAATAGACCTGCAAGAAATAATCATGAGTCCAGGAATTGACTATAATCAAGCGTAGATCAATCGGTTGCCGTCTCGATTGGAAATGCAGAAAATGTGACATTAGATAATACAAATGTGACGTTGGACAATACGACTTTGGAAAATGTTATTTTAGAAAATGCATTGTCGGAAAACGCCGTACATGAGAATATTGTTATAGAAAATAAAATAGATGCAAGGAAAAGTGATAGTGCAGTATCGAAAAACACGAATGAATTTGTTACTTGTGAGGTAAGAATTTAATTTAAATTTATAAATGCTATTATTTATGTAAATAGAAATAGAAGGATAGAAAATTGGATATATATTAAATTAAAAACTCTGATTATTTTTAATGAAAATAAAACTGAACACACATTTTATACTAAAATCAAATAATATACGAATATATTTCGAAAAGCAAAGGCATTTACCATATTTTTAAACGGTTTTCAAAGTTTTCAGTTGAGTTGCAACGTTTTTAGATGATTCGACAAGATTGTTAGACGATGTACAAGATTGTTAGACTATTTACAGCGTTTCTAGATGATTTTCAAGATTTTTAGACGATTTACAGATTTTTAGCGATGAATGCAAGATTTTAGACGATTTACAAGATTTCTAAACGATTTACAGGTTTTTAGATTATTTATCAAGATTTTTTAGACGATTTTCTGTTTTTAGATGATTCGCAAGATTTTTAGACTATTCACAAGGTTTTTAGCATGATTTCTAGGTTTTTAGATTATTTACAAGGTTTTTAGCCGGGTTGCTACGTTTTTAGATGATTTGACAAAAACGTTTTAATCGATCTACAAGATTATAGATGAATAACAACGTTTTTAGACGATTTACAAGATTTT